AGGCGTTTTCGATTCAAATCACGGAATCTCAATCCCCGAAGAAGAGACAAGAAAAAGACCGGTTATTTCTCTTTTTTTAAGAAAACTTTTTTTTTTTAACTTTTCAGAAAGCTGAACCGTGTTAGTGAATTTCCGAGCAGAGAGGTCGAAGGGAGTTAGTGGCGTATGGGCTTGGGTTTTAGTTTTCTTCTTCCGGAGCTCAACCAGCTCCAGCGTTCAAAGCAGAAGGAAACTGAAGCTAATGGAGATATCAAACAGCCACAATTCTGAAGGAGCCTTTCCACCACAAGCACCCACCATCCATCTGCAAGTGTGATCACAGAGACCTGCGCTCCCTTCATCACCAGGGACTCAGAGAACGGGAGAAAATTCTCCGTGGTTAAAAGGAACCCCCTCTGATCACGCTTATTATTTGTGTACAGCAACAGAAGAATCTCCCCCCCCCCACCTCCCTTAAAATTCCCCCACAATATTGAAACAGCATTTGTTGTCCGATTCATACAAACGCTTGAGGCCTTTCTGGAAAACCATTACCATTCAATGGCTAGAAAATTGCTCTCCTTCCTTTAAAAAAAAAAAAAAAGGCAGACGCAGCAGCAGCTATAACAGACAACAAAAACTTTCTCTTGCTTAATCCTTGCTCACGGAATGACAAAGAAATGATATTGACTTACCCCTGAACGGATGATGTGTTTGATAAGGGGGGGACACTTTTGAAGGTCTCTGTTCTCGAGCTACACAGACAGCTGCAATTCATGGGAGCCTCTGATTGCCAGAAACGCTATGGATTGGCATGGGGTCTGCAGCTCTCGGATCCTGATCAATACCTCTACACTCACACGCCAGATGGTTTGGGAAGGACAAAAATAAAATAGTCCAAATCAACCCACCATTATGTCTTTTTGTATTGCCCTGATAAACCCAGTCGCAGCACAAACGTGTTCAATCCAACAAAAAGACCTTTTTCAGATTTTGAATATTTGGGTGAAAATAAGCAAACCCCTCTTTTCCTGGGATTTGGACTGTGATTACTGTTGTTTAGTAAAAACAGAGCTGTTGGGCCCTCATCCAGATTAGGTTTACTTGTGATCTGTTTATTTTCTTTTTCTTGAATAATTTATAGGGACTCTGTTTAAATTGAATGTTCACTCCCTCTCTTCCAATCAGAGTCTAAGAACAATCCCGTGTGAAACATATGCAGAGCCGTGACAGTAAAAATTTCCGGTCTTTTTCTGCAGTTGCTAACTCAAGTTCAATTTTTTTTCCCTTCACAATGCAACAAATTCAGTTGTTTTCAAAGCTGCATTTTATTGGCAGCTTTGACCCATTTAAGTGTCTGATGTCAAAGAAAACCGGACCTGCACATGTGGTGACCTAACAAATGAATATCCTACTCTTAATAGCATGGTTAGTGCAACTGTTTGAACTCACACCACCTCAGTTCTACACAGTCTCTTGTGAATCAAACGTTGAGGGAAAGGGAGACCGAAGTGTAACTTTATATTAAAGAAAAAATTGTGAATTGCAGAACTTCTTAAGGTTAAAGAATGAGTATAAATTAAGGAGCTGATAAAAGGCAACTCCTGTTTATTTCTTAACTATAAAGAAAGAAACATCAAACATATTTCAAAACATATTTAAAATTTTGATCAATACTGACATTCTTTAAAATTAGCCAGAAGTAGGAAATATGTCTTCCTTTTTATAAAGGGGAAAAAGCATGAAAACCTAATTTCAGTAAAGAAGAAAAAATAGGATGCTGCCTTAACAAGCACATTTATTTTCCCCTTAAATGGGTTTTGGGTTGAAATATAAAACCTCAAACCGCCATTAGAAAAACAACATGAAAAATCTGCTTTAATCTAGCTCAATGAAATTATACACAAAGAAGCCAATACGATTTCATGATTTCCCTGAGATCGCCAATATTGATCGAGGGAGGGGGGAGGGATGGTTAAAGAGAGGGAAGAGGGAGGGAGGGAGGGAGGGAGGGAGACAGCGAGAATATGCAACTTACCTTTCAACTCCCCAGCACGTGACTGCTCCCAGGCAGACCTAAATGCAATTCCCTGGAGCAGATTTATCTTGGCGGCCTGGGAAATGAATTTATCATTTTGAAAAATATTTAAATGGAAATTTGTGTACTTAGGTTTCGGTATGGAGCCAGTGCCTACCACTCCTTAAGCCAGGCGCTAAAGCAAAGGAGTCTGCCTAGGGCACATCAGACAAACCCCTTCCCTAACTTTACTCCCCTACTGCTCCATTTCCATTTCGGAGCATTTCTGGACCAACAGGAGGTTGCACTCTTGTGAACTTTTGTTCAACTCGGTGTGCATTTCAAACATTGACTGGTTCAGATTATGCACCACTGTGCCTAAAATAGCCACTACTGTGCACTAGATGGGAAGTAAGGGCAGGAGGAAAAAGTGAAGAGGAGAGGAAAAGGCAAACAGAAAACTGAGTTTTCACCTATCTAGTATTGTGACATTTAAAATGTGAGTGGCTAGAAAAGTATGTCTAGAAAAATAGGGGCTCGGCTGCTGGCTGCTTTCTTGCCGGGGCTTTGATAGCACAGAAATGAAGCTATTTGGAAGAATAATTGGCAAGGTATTGGCTAGAGTTCAATAAAGTATAATAACGTCACTACATACATGTGACTGGATTGGGGGGGGGGATCGGTCTGTAGCTAGGAGAGAGGGAGGGCGTCTTGAAAGGTCACCAAGACTAAGAACTGTTTTCCAATGAATTAAACCTTCCTCCAGCGTTCAGGAAGGCGCATATACAGTATTCCAGGCTGTGTTCTTGTTTTCTTATCAAGTTTTCTCTAACAGCTGGAAGTGGTTGGAGGGGTCGTCTTAAAGAGACCCCCTGTTCTTCTTTTGACAGCTGATCAAAAGAAAATAGGTCACGCTTCTCAAACTTATGTCCACCCTGTCCTTAATTACTGTCTCTTTAAACAAAGGCAACATCTGCGCAACCTCAGCTAGCTTGAATCTTCGGAGGCAAAGAGAACGCAACCTGCTTTGGAAGAATCTGTTACATTTAAAGCTTTCAATAGCAGGTGGTTCTCAGGCTTCAAGCTCCCCTCCACCACACCCGGGTCACCGGTATCTCCACTTCCTCTCTACCCGGCTGAGCTCACCGTCCTCGACGCGGGGGTTACTAAACAGCAAACATTCTGGCATGACGAAGGTGCACCTTTTTTAAACTGCGGTTTGTCAGCATTCTAAAACTCGCCGGGGCTCTATCCATTGCCAAATCTGCGTTCCTCTCGGGATTCGAGATGTGTGTGTTTTGTGTGTGTGTTTGTGTGTGTGTGAACGCGCGCGCGCGCGCGCGTGTGTGTGCGTTTTAGAGGAAAGATTCGGGACGTCGTCCCGAATGATTCATACACTCTGCTCCCAGGAGAAGTTTTCTCACTATAGGCATCGCGACTATTCTGCCGCGCTCCCCGCGCCGCACCTTACACACACACACAACACTACCACTTCTTTCCAAGTCTCTAGTTGGGTGTGCATTTGGTCACCTTGAAACCGCAGCTATAGGATTTCTAGTTTTGTTTTGCAGTCTAACAAAGCCTCATAGCTGGGAGATTTGTGGACTCATCGGGTAGTTCAATGATATGATTGTATTAACTTTGCATGCATTACGGCGGCCCGCGCCGCACGCCCGTGGGCTTTCGTCTGCCAGCCGCAGCTCACCCGCAGCGAGGGCGCTGGAGTTCCTTTTTGCCCCGTATATTCTGCACGCTCCAAGCTCGGGAATTTTCCCTGTATTAGAATAACTTAGCGCCTGAATTTTAAAAGATTAAACTACCGCCCAGCTAGGAACGCTTGGAAAGTGGCTTGGTAGGAGACGTGTGTTTGTTTTCACAGAAGCTTGTAGAGGAGTCGTTTCCTCGGCTTACTACTAGTCTGGAGAAAAGCTCTGGGGTGAGGCGAAGGGAACTAAAGCAATGTCCTTTTGCCCAGATCGCAGCTGCCCACGAGGAACACGGAGAGGCATCTTTAATATAATTTCGCTCCCTCGCTCACACTCTCGCCTCTTTCTCCCCCTACCCCCTTCTCCTCCCTCCCTCCCTCTCCTTGAGGTTTGATTCCAGTGGCAAAGGAGGAAAAAAGGCACAGAGCCGTCAGCCAAACATGAAACGAGCAGCCCCGCCCTCTCTTCACCCATTGGTGGATGCTCTAGGGAGACCCGCCTCCCCAGGAAGCTGCGGCTTCGGAGTGGCTGATCGTGGCGCCCGTCGGGCGCTGCCCCGCCCGGCTCCGGTAGGGTAGGTTGGCTGCCCGGGCGAGCGGCAGAGCCCTTCTGGACAGCTCCCGCTCACCCAAACAGAAGACGTCGGCGCCGGAGCGGGCTCGGACATGGCGAGGCAGCGCGCCGGCCCGAGCGGCGGGGCCCGG